GTCCTGACCGCGTAGCTCAGTTGGAAGAGCATTGGGCTAGTATTCCAAAGGTCGTAGGTTCGAATCCCACCGTGGCCGGGCATATTTTTCAAGCTCGCCCGGTGTGGATATACACTCAGAGTAACACCACAAATATCATAAGAATGTTTGTGTTCGTGTTCGTGTTCGTGTTCGTGTTCGTGTTCGTGTTCGTGTTTGTGTTTACTGTTTATTCTCTTCACCAGAATATATCCAAACGCGGCGGTTTCCTTATGAGAACTGGCTGGACACATCATCGCACTGCCACAGGTAACAGAAGATGTTCTTGAACATTTTTGACTAGACGACAAACCAAATCCCAACCAATTAAGAATCACAGGAGTTGCATGTTTTTTCATTGTTCCCGATTATACCAATCCGAGCTTTAAAACCAGCGCATTTTATATTAAATCCCTTCTCGTTATGGCATGCTGCTTGTAATTTCGCACCCTGGAGCAAACTCAACCATTTCTTTCTTGCAACGCTTATACGCCGAAAATTGTTATCCGCGATCACATCGTACAACGAGCTTCCCCGATGAATTATTTTCATCCACTTTCTCTTGCCATTTACTTCCATTCCCAGGCAAATTTTTTTAAACGCATTAATCCAGTAGGAAGCCAAAAGTGATTCATTCGTTGTCAACCCCTTAAGTCCATTGTCAAGTTTATAAACCTGTTTATTTTTCCAGTGACTCGAAGTGTATTCAAAAGATTTCTAAAAAAAAAGCATAGACTAACATGCGCTTGAAAATGTTGCGAGAAACTGGTGAGAAAGCCTGAGTACGATGGTTAACTTACCAACTATTTACCTGCCTTTTATCAAAATTTACAATATACTTATACACTACAGACGTAAAAACGATAACAAATTGTCGTCACCTTGTTACAAGGTTGATGACGGTAACAGATTTGCAACAAGTTGTTCCAACAAGCTAATACGGGGCTGTTAGTAACAAGTCACTGGGAGCTTGTTGTCATCAGCTTGTTAATAACTTGTCACATAGTCTGTCAAGATATTATGGTCTGCAAACCAGGCAAACTTCAAAGCTACAGAATAGGCCTTTGTTTGATGTTGAACGTTCCTCACCGTGCCCAAATCCTTTGTCTCAATTAATATTAATTTTCAATAAAAACTGGTGTCTTTAAAACTAGTGTCCAACCCCCTCCATCGCATTCTCCGAGGTCTCCCATGTGGCAGTATACATTATACCGGTAGGGATTCATACCATCACCTTGGGACTTTCTTTCCAGTTCATAGCTTCCATTTTGCAGCGTACTGTTTAAATCGAAATGAATTTTTTTAACCAACCACGTCCGTTTTAAGTCGAAAAAGTTATAGCGAGCGTAAAAAATTAACAGCACAGGACCTTTTGAAATTTATGTTATATTTTTATTTCACAAGTTTTTCGATGCAATATATGGAAATAGAAATTAATTGCAGATTGCTTAAATTACCACGCAGAGTTAATTCTTCAGTGACATAAGTGGTTCCAAAACACTCGAATATACACTAAACGTTGAAAACTTAGGCAGACATCGAGGAAGGTTGCCTGAAAATTAAATGAAACCATAGAAAGGGGGCAAAATGTTCCTCATGGAGTTATGAAAAATCTTTATTTCCACGCTATTTGCAATTTCCATAAGAACTAAAAAATATTACACTTAATCGTACTTATCTCTTTTCAGCAATTCTTTACATGATGGCGCTTCCTGAACTGCCCGAGCTATTAAAAGTGATTATAAACTTATATACTCTTTGCACGCTTATAACCATGCATTATCACACAAAAGCAAACAAAAACATTGTACTGTCACAGTAGCTAAACCTTTATTTTCAGTATTCAGGCTACAGACATGTTAGATTAAAACAACAGTATTAGATTAAGTTCTTTGTAGGTATTTCCAGTTATAAATATAAGTGCTGTTTCCACAAACCAAAACATATATATATAGTATTGGCTTGATTTTAACTAACTTGTTGCTCGAGGGTTTACACGTCGACGACGTCTTCTTGACCATTTGGTTGTGGGCATTTCTATTTAGAAGATCACAAAATAAGCGTTATAAGGAGTCGCTGTATTTAATTTAGCTATATGTGATAAAATGTACATTCCAAATAATAAATGCAGGTTTTAACAAAATATATAAATTTTAATAGCTAATAATATTCAAGCTCTCTTACACAAGCAACAATTTAGAGCGACTTTTAATAATTTATCAATGCGGGGGGGGGGGATTGGGCATTAAGGAAAAGGGGAACTTGTGGGGGTCCGCCACCCAAATAATTTTGCATTTTTGAGCGTTTGGGACTTGATTTTCTGCATTTTTAGACATGCACAATCTTTTTTATTATTATATTCCATCTGTGAGACAAAGGTTTGGTGATAGAAATAAATAATAAAACGCTCTCCTGATTCAATCTTGTTTGTTGGATTGTTTTTAGTACGTAATATATTTATTTTATTTTAGAATTAGCTCAATCAGTAACTCAATAACACGATATCATTTGGTTTATGTGCTTTTTTAAGGAATAACTTTTGTAATAATAAATAAGTAATAATAAGTGAAATAGATGTTATTAACTATAATAATTTCCATTCAACTTGGATACTGCTTTACTGCATGAGCTTGTTGTCTTAATTGTACATGCAGCAATACGTAGCATCTTAGCCGGAATTTTGTCAAGACGTGCGCCTTTCGAAACATTTAGATGTCTTTGTGTTTTCAAAACGTTATCCACCGGAATAAGTATAAAACGAAAGGATGGAATAATTAACTCATTATTCAAGGATGCCGCCGCAAATTAAACTATTATAATTAACTCGTTATTCAAGGTGCCGTCGCAAGCTATTTCTTAAAAAGTATATATTTACTTGTTGTTTGAGTAGTTGATTCTTTTGTTTTGTTCGTTGTAGGTTGTTCTGTATTTTTAAAGATAATAAAATAAATTAAATGTTTTTTTTCATTGCAAGAGTATTCGGTCATGCTAGAAATAATCCGCCATTTGGGTGGCATGCATAATTAATGACTATAGCCAGAAAATGATTTACCCAGAAAAAGGCCACTTTGGATTTTCCAACAATAAGAACACAACCGCAGCCTTGGTTTACCGAGCAAATGACGGCATATGATTAGTTGTTATTTATAGTTCTAAATATTTGCCATGCAAAATGGCGACCGCCAAACAACTATATATAGTTTTCACAACACATGTGTTGTGATGCCACTTGCACGGGCTAAATATATGTCTATTGAAACCAGAAAATTCATCAACTCAACCAACAAGTAAATATACATGTATATTCTTCGTTGTTGATGTTTCTATGCAAAGATAGGTGATTTATATTATAAAGGTGATTTATTTTATAAGAAAGAATTACTATATCTTTATGACACTTTGAACGCTTACTTGATGGTAAAGTTTGTGCGGTCTTTCGAGCGGTTGATGGAACTGGTGAAAATTCCTGAAAATACAATGATAAAATGAATTAATGATGGCGAATTACATTTATATAGCGCATTTTTCATATGGATATGTTCAAGTGCGCATATCATATGGATATGTTCAAGTGCGCTTAATTTTTCATATGGATATGTTCAAGTGCGCTTAATTTTTCATATGGATATGTTCAAGTGCGCATATCATATGGATATGTTCAAGTGCGCATATCATATGGATATGTTCAAGTGCGCATATCATATGGATATGTTCAAGTGCGCTTAATTTTTCATATGGATATGTTCAAGTGCGCATATCATATGATAATTAAACCATGCGCTTGAGCATAAACATTACATTGAAAATATTTCTTTAGAGGTCGCGAATATGAATTAAAACTGAACTGCATGGTCTAGTTTGAGTAAGGGAGAAATTGCTCTGAAGTACCCGGAGTACACCTGCGGTGTTTAGTGAGTAAGATTGAAAGCCCCCTGCTGTATATGGGACAAAGGCGTTATTTGTATTGCATTGTAAAGGAATCGAACTCCGGTCACGAGATAAAGGGGATTCCGTTCCCAACTGTGCTGCCAACATGCTCCAATTTATTGTACTGGAAAGCCAGTGCCTTGTTCGTTTACTCTTTCTATTTACCTTTGCTTTAAGTTTCTCAAAGTAAGAAAACTCGTAGTTTTCTATTCCATTCTGCGGATGATCTTCTAATGTTTCCGCGTGTAGTTCACAGAAACCTTGGTAGTCGCCTGAGGTTTTATAATTAACAGACGCGCATGACTTATCTTGTAAGCAATTACTACAGCACTCCATTTCACTGCTTGTGTCCTCAGTTTTCAACACATTGTTTGCAAAATACACGCCGTTTTCTTTCCGAAAGAGAGCCTCTTGAAAACAGTGCGCAAATGTTGGTAAGAGGATCCAAATAAGCAAATATAGCCATATAGATACATTTTCGCACATCAGCATAATGTCGACTTTTTGCGTAAAATTGTACACGTACACGAGAACAGTTTGTCCAGGTCTAAGATTTCGTTGTTAATGCATATACAAACATTTTAGTTCAATGCACTCGAGTTACACGAAAATATAGTTATTCTCAAACACATTCGTGCAAAGGTTAGTGATAAAAGCGTCTCGCACTTTGTAAACGACTTGCAGCAGGTGTTACGTAATGTCATATAACGTTGAATAATTCTTACACTGCATAATCACTACCCTAGCTATTTTTTCAATTAATAAATGGCATTGTATACTTAAAAAGTTAAACATTACATAATTAATTAAATCATGCCTATTATTTCTTCAAGGACTTTCGGTTCTTCTGCGAAAAGCATGTGGCGCTTCCGTAGGTAATTATACCAGTTTATGCATAAAAACTTAAAGCCTTATTAAGGGTGGCCATGGAACGTCCAAAAGATTGTACAATTGTTGTTTTCAATAAAAATAATTATTATTCCTATATAGATGTATAGACAAATTTCAATTTGTTTGAACTAAATGAATGGTAGAATTATTAAATAATTTTTTATTAAAATATTAATATTTTTGGCTTCACGCAGCTGCAATGCATGTACGTGTAGCCTATCTCTTTTACGAGTCTTGCAAGGGTATAAGGTATGAAATAAAGTGCAGACCATGAATCCTTCGGGAATTAAGGATTATGGTCAAAATTGCCTTGTATATTTGTGGTAGCATTTTGGTAAATGTTTCACATCTCTGCAGATTTGAAATATACAACTACACAACGGTATTTGCGCATGCGCATTAAGTTACAATGTAAGTGATTAAAAATTCTTGTTACTGCATGTATATATATCATGAATTAGGCAATTCCATATTGTGTCACGTGAGAATGACCAGCTATACAGTAGGAGATAAAGTAAATCCACAAGAAAGGAATAAAAAAAAATGTAGACTGAAAAGATAACTGTGGCATTGGTACAAGGGAGGACATTTTGTCTCTATATAGCATGAGTACTGCTGCTTCTTTGAAATAGATTGCTGTTTAATCATTCTAATTAGTCATATATATGACATTTTCAAAATCTTCGAAATCTCACCTGCTTCATACAGTACTATGGTAGTAAATGCTATAAAATATTTATTCAAACACTATTTCCTCGTTGCATGCACTGCATGTGAAGTAGTGAAATAGTTCTATGACATACTTACTCTGTTGGGTTGCAGTAATACGAGATAATCGAAATTTTCATCTTCGTGTAAAAGTTCTGGATTTGCTGAATCAGCGCCATTAAGTAACTGACAATTTCCAGTACTATTGTTAAATGAAATTTTCCTGAAGTTTACAGATCTGCATGATTTATCTTGAAGCATGCACTGTAGGATACAATCCGCTCCAGATTGGGCATGAACAATTTTGACCACTTCACTGACGAGAAAATGACCTTAAAAAGGATGAAAAAGATTAAATCTAGTCCATACAGGTGTCTATTTGTTTGTTTACGGATTTTTTTTTAATATGTGCTTTTTGAAAAGAGAGAAAAAAATAAGGTTATAATAAGGTGTGTTAATTGTGTTGTAGAAAGTATTAATTAAAAATATTTAAACATCAAACATTTGAACTAGAGCCCGCTACGAGACCGCATACCTTCGCTACACGATTGTTTGATAATATCATAATCAATCATGCACGGCTTGGTGTTCTGAAAGACATTACATTGAGAAAATGCACGTTTTGGGATATGACAGAAAGTAGTTATAAATGTATATGTATTAAGCTCAAAAAGTGAGCAAAACAAAGTTTTTTAATTTCGCATGCCATCTTTCATCCAAATTCAACAAAAATCTTATCAGTTTAACGTACGATATATTTTGGGATGCAAACATTAAACAATTCAATGTACTGGGGGGGGGGG